ATGAGCTGTTCATTTTCCAGGAAGTGCGATTTGAGTCATCGAAGACAAAGTTTGTAAAAGAGAGAAACCAGTAACCAGTTGATCAGTGTTGTACCCTTAAAAGTGAACACATTGCTCTCTCCGTTTATCTTTTGAGGGTGTATATTTAAAAAGGACGGAAATATTGTAACAATCACGTGATGTCAAGATACCTCTTTTAGGGAGGGGAAAGAAAGGTGAATAATGAATCTGAACCACTCTTACAAATAGGAATTTTCCAAAAAATGTACAACATCGGTCATCATTCTCTTTATTCGGGCAAACGATTTAAACTTGAAAAGTAGTGAATCGGGCGATTAGCCAAATTATCAAAAGTTGAAAATTCTATTTCTCCTGACATTCTTGGGCCTGCCATATTGACCAAGTGATCGGAACAAAGTTCTTAGGTTTCCTAGGTTTCTGTAGCTTGTTTCTTTTCAAGAATTTGAATATTCTTTTCAAATTCTTGAAAATCCTTTTTCCTGAGTAGGTCAAGTATTTTCCACAGATTCTTTTCCTGAATCTCATCGAAACTTCCTTCAAAGAACAAGTGATTTTTCCTTCTGATGGCAGGTATTTCTGATTACTCGGAATATTCCGGAAGTTTCACTTTCCAATAGTAATGGATAATTGGGATGGGTATATTTTTTTAATGGGAGAGAGAGTGGGGAGGATTTTTATAGCAGCATCTAACAAGGATTTAGGAGCAAACCATAATGTTTCATTATCATTTCTGCTGGGGGAGCTGGTTACAAGCAACCGACGATCCTTTTGGCTACGGCCTTCCTGAGTAGTCAGAGTAGGTGAGGCTGTTGTTACCAATTTTTGATAACTTGAAGGAAAAATAAGAACTGTGATCAAAAATATTTAACAAAAACACTGAAATCAGGAACTTCTAAACAATCAGATAATATTTTAGGGAAATGGATTTTTTATTCTACACTGATCCCTGATGTACAGGCCGTTAATACGAATACAGCAGAACTAGAAGCGATTTGAAAATTAAATTTGTCTCTAACACTAAACTGAAGATTGCGCCGGGCGATAACACTAGTTTTCGCTTGACGCTATAAAATTCAAAATTCAAAATATTACGGCACACAAGAGTATTGACGTTTTACCCCGAAAGGAAAAGACCTGTGAAAAATGAAACTTTTCGCCAGTCATAAACATGACCTCCCATGCCATTCCTGAATATTAAAATGGCTGGCTGAGGAAG